CCAACATGGTGAAACCCCGTCTTTCAAAAAAGAAAAAGAAAAGACTCATATAAGTTGATTGTAATAAAGTAGTTTGAATTTAGGCTCCAATCTTAGGTTTGAAGTGGAAAAGTATGATTGGTTTCTAGCAACATATATATATATATATATATATACACACACGTATGTATGTATATATATATGTATATATTTGTTTTTTAGACAGAGTCTCACTCTGTAGCAATATATTATTTAAGGATAGATGGACTACTTGTTTGGGCTACTTATCCCCTTTATCCTCTGAATATCCAACTATTATCAATGTCTGGACTCCACCCAGCTGCCCCCATAAACAGAAAGGACACACTGGCCACTTCTCCAGGACAATGAGGTAATGGACATGCACAAAGACCTTGCCCCTGTTCATATCCATGACAGAAGTGCTGTGCCTCCTTGACTTGATAAAGAAGGAGCCAATTTCTTCCCAGCTTCCTTGAGACCTCACAGGCTGACACAACAGCTTCAGCCCCCATGTCCACAGTCAGCATCTGCTATTACACTTTGCCTGGAGAGGAAAAACCTGTTCCCCTTAAATACCCTCACTGGTTCTTTTCTTCTTCATTGAGTATCAGACGATCATGAGGAGAAAATAAAGCTTAGCTAGTTTCTTACTCATACTGTATATTCTATGAGTAAAGACCCACTCATTCAAAGAAAACCAATCTGTTTTTAGCTCTGCCCCTGAAACTAGGAAGTTGGTCCTTAGCCTGATGAAGTCAACCTCTTGGAGAAATTTTTAAGTTCTTCTAAACAACACTTTAATCAGTGACAAACTAAAACTGAATTACAGACTTTTTTTTTTTTTTGAAACAGAACAGAGTCTGACTCTGTGGCCTAGGCTGGAGTACAATGGTGTGATCTCAGCTCACTGCACCCTCCGCCTCCCAGGCTCTGCCTCAGCCTCACAACTAGCTGGGACTACAGGTGTATGCCACGATAGCCGGCTAATTTTGTATTTTTAGCAGAGACGGGGTTTCACCCTGTTGGCCAGGCTGCTCTTGAACTCCTGACCTCAAGCAGTCTGCCCGCTTACCTTCTCAAAGTGCTGCGATTACAGGCATGAGCCACTGCAACCAGCCGGACTATTTTAAACTATATAGCAATGAGAATGTTTGTTCTTCAACTCCACATAAAAGTATGAATGATCCTCACAAACATAATGCTGAGCAAAGAAACTAGACACAAGGGTACAGACTAAACAATTCTTTGCGGGGCCGGGCGCGGTGGCTCAAGCCTGTAATCCCAGCACTTTGGGAGGCCGAGGCGGGTGGATCACGAGGTCAAGAGATCGAGACCGTCCTGGTCAACATGGTGAAACTCCGTCTCTACTAAAAAAAAACTACAAAAAATTAGCTGGGCATGGTGGTGCGTGCCTGTAATCCCAGCT